ATCTTTTGCCTTTTGCTCTTTATAATATCTAGACTCTCTAAACTCCAAACTAGTAACCAATGCTTGTAAGTCATGCTTATGATTGTTAACGACCACTTGAGATTTTTTTCAAAATAAATTGAAAAATCAAGTGTGAAATATATAAGAAAAAGGGAGTCGCCACTCGTCCAAATTATAAGGTGGGACAAGTCACCTAAAACAAGTCTACGCAGAGATCGAAGTTCGGGGGTTTGGTTAGGAGTGAGGAAGAGCATACGCGCACCTCACAATTCTCCGTTTAAACACGGTTGCAGACTTTAACATTGGAGGTTTTGATTAAACTTATTTATTACATTTATGTTTGAGTCTTAATAAGCAAAACTTGAAAAAAAAAGAGATAAACCAAATTGCAACATTTTTAACATTTTGGACTAAAATGGACGAAATCAAAGACATGCATGCACAATGAACACAAGTAAAAATTAAAGGGACTGATTTGACTAAAATAAAAATAGAGGACTGATTTGAAAAGATTTGAAACTTTTGAACTAAAGTGCTTAAACATGAAACTTTCTGGATGAAATTGAGATAAAATAAAAGATATCTTTGACTTTGATCAAAATTAAAGTTAATTGAGGATTAAAATTAATTAATCAAGATAATTAGTTTAATTGAATAATTAATTTAACATTAATTAAATTAATTAAAATTAATCAATCATAAATTATGTGATTATCTCAAATCAAATTCAATAAATATGATTAATTTATTTTAATTAAAATTGATTAACTTCATTAATCATAAATTAAACTAACTCTCCTAATTAATCAATAAAATATGTATTTTTTACTTTTTAACCTTTTTAGTTTTTTTTTTTATATATATATTTTTACTGGATTAAATCGGACTGACCCGACCCAAAAACGTAAACCGTCATGCAAAACATATAAGAAACAGATCAAACATCAAATGAAAATGAGATGTTCATATCATTTCCAGCAAAGACATGCATTCATCCAGTGCTTAATCTGAATATTTTTTTTTTTTTTGACATTTTCATTAGTTTTCAGCAACATACATGGATTTAACATCACATTAAAAAAAAACATCAACAGAGAAGGAAACAAACAAACATGACGAAAATCTTTGAAGAAAACAGATCAGAATCGGGGGGAGGGATCCCACCCACGGGATCAAGCTCCAACCCTCTCCCTCACTTCTTTTCCCAAAAACCTTCTCTGATGCAGGAAAATACCTAAGATGAAAATCCAGAAAATGTACAATCTTCGGGAAGCTCAGCGATCCTCCTCTTCTTACTACCGCTGCCAGCAATACCCCAAACTCAGACAAAGAAATCCCCAAAATCAAACTCCAAAATCAGAACCCCCGGCCTTAATACCAGAAGAAATCCCCTTCCAGCTCCGAAAATCAACCAAAAAAAA